TACTGATCCGAGTGATACGCTCCCGAGGAGAGTTCAAATATTAGTTCAAATGCCGAAGTTCAATTCTACTTTTAGAGATACTGCTGTGAACCCTTTTATCACTGGAAGCGGCACGGTTCTACGACGGTTCACATAATTTTTTTCACACAATGTCCTTTTGCCCAATAACATTTGACATAACACCTTTAACACAATTTTTTAAACATAAATACCGTTTCACATAAGTTTCCTTTTTACATATAGTGCTGTTTTGCATACATTTCTTTTTACATTTTCCTCTGTGTGTGAACCCATTTATTCTGGCAGGCCCCCTCGAATTTTTTCTGTCTTCGGCTCGATCTTCTGCTTTTAAAAAGCTGTTGAGTGGGCTTATACAATAAACCCAGGAAACACAGTTTTGTCAAAATGACATCACGTGATGTCAGTTTCAAAATTTTGTCATTTCGGTGTCTTGATTTGACGTCCTTTTAATATTACATGCCGTTACGTGATGTCAAATTGACGTTAAAGCAGGCCACCAATCACGTGATATCACTTTGACAAAACCATTTTCTCTGGGACCGGGTGTCTGAATGTCGAACTTGGTATTTTGAGTGTGTCTTATGGGTCACACGTGGGCACGGAAAAGCCTTGTGCAAATCCTGGCCCACTATTCTAAGTGGGTGAAATGAGCTATGTACCGGGTGTAACTGTGAATGCGCAGCACTGTTTCGGGTTTGCCAACCCAATTCACCCGTAAGGCACCACGGCCCCTGCAGCTCTGGCAGGTATAATCCCGCAACAACTTTATTTATCCCAAATCTAAAATTATGTGTAAAAAACGTATGCAAAACGGCACTTCAGACGAAACTGAAATTGTGTCAAAGTGCCCTCTAGACAAAACGGAAATAATGTGAAAAAAATTATGTGAACTGGGTTGTAAGAAATGACATTAGGTATAAAACCATTGTGTGAAAAAAATTATGTGAACCGTCGTGTTACCAGCGGCACAACCTCAGTAATATGATGCCGGACCTAATTTTATTCAATCTCCAATATTTCTGGTAGCTGTTAGGCCCGTGCAGTTGATCTGACTGCAGACAATTGCACTCTATTGGGGGCCCGGAGCTCGTCCTATTGTATGACTGACAGGTCGCCGCGCGCCGCCTGCCCCTGCCCCCGCCCCGCCGGCGGTAATCCCTGCCCAGCGGTCCTCAGCAGGTATACCCTGCGCGAAACAATTCGGCAACACAAAAGTCGAGGAAATGCACCCAAAGCCTATCTATGCAATGCATTCGCAAATTACCACAAGCTAGCGTTATGCTTTTGGAAGTGTACCGAAACTAGCACTATCTCTCGGACGACGCGTGAACTTTTTGCGGAAAAACGGCAATACACCTTGACGATAACCGGAGCGCGGATACTCATCCTAAGTTACCTTTATGCCATTCTCAGAGTCCGCTGCGAAAGGTCCCCCCTTAATGTAATTGAAAGTAACAAGAGGGTTGAAGTAAACAAAAAAAGACGAATGAAATTAAAAAAATAAAGTTTTCGTGATTTAGATTTTTTTTTTGGGGGGGGGGGGGGTGAGGTGGATATGTTGTGGACGATCGAGTAGACGTATCCATTACTCATCCACGTGGAATTCACTGCCGTTATCACGTCGATGGTCGACTCGAAGATCCACATCGATTCAATGATCACAGCCCACGTTGCGTCAACATCGATTCCATGTGCTTGTTCCCATGGGGTAGGCAGTTGTTGGGGCGAGTGAGCGGCGACGTGGTGATCGTCCTCGCTTTGGACGAGCGCTAGACCGAGCAACCAGGGGTGCTCGTCGTTGGTGTCGAGACCTCGGCGGCCCTGTGCCCTGGCCTGGTCTACCTTCAGGCCAGGCTTGAAGCATGGAGTAAAGCGGTATGGAGTAGAAGCTTTACCGGCCTGGGGCCCTGCGCGCCTGCCTCCCCAAACGTCTGACGGTCGAACGGTTTGAGTTACAGACCTGGGTCCTTGACAGGTATGTCGAGGAAGGTCACACCAATAGGAAGATACCCTTGGTTCCTCGATCGGACCTACCGAACAGTCTCCACAGCGCCGTAAAGCCCGCGCGCCAGCCGCGCGCCGTCTCCCGCCCCGTCTCAGCCCAGCGCCGGCCGCTAGGAGCAGCACTGTCGCGCGCCGGCGATACTCCGCGATCCGGCTAGCGCGCATCGCACTCCCGCAGCTCCGGGCGCAATGAGCAGTGTCTCACCCGTTGAATCGTGTCGGTCTTTTCGGCGATGACGAATCACGTGCATTATTTAATTTGAAGTGGTGAGTTATGTTTCTTATTTGCCGTATTTTTTTTATTTTATTAAGATTAAGAAGCGAACGTGGACCTATTTTACAATAAAATTCCCCTTTTTGACGTTGCTGGCTAACGTGTGTGCAGAGGTTATATCTTTCTTGTTTGTTGTCATTGTGCTATCTTAAATTTTGTTTTGCAGATTCATCTCCCGTTGTCAGTGGATGCAATTTCAACTATGGAAAGCCCGTCGAATTCTTTCTCAACGTTAGCTGATGTGACAGTGTCACCGGCGTTTTCGTCGTCTTCTTTGTTTGCTTCAACTCCAACAAGGAAAAGGCCCAGGAATAAGAAGAACTTGTTGAACGACAAGACCAAGTTCAAGAAACCGCGTCTACCGCCGGCAGGCCCACCCAAAGCGACTTGTGCAACCTGTGGTAAAGAATACAGGTCCCTAAGCTACTATGACAAACACATCAAAATGCATGTGCTAAAAGGTAGTGGAAAGATTGATTTTCTTGGCTGATATCTGCCTTTTTTAACTGGAAGAAATCTAACAATTTTACTGTTTTGTAGATGCTGCTGCTAGGGTCCCTGATATCAATGTGTTGCAATCAAAATCAAGAACAATTGGACGCAATGCTCTAACAACACTGAAGAATAATCCTGCAGTTGGGAAGTACGGACAGCAATACAACAAACTTATTGAAGATTTATTACAGAGTGACGACTTGGAAGAATGGCAGAATTTTATCACGTTTCTTAGCAAGCAATTTACGGCTCAGTTGGTTGGCAAGTCTATAACTTTGCCATCTGCCATGTTGTCAAACGCTCTCATGGATGTAGAAAAAATAACATCTAGTTTTTCTATCCGCACTCAATGTTTGGAAATGCTAAGTTCTTTGCCATGTACTTCTGTTTGCAGCTCCCAGGTTTTGTGTATATTTTTTAGTGATTTTGTTTTTAATTTCTGTGACCAATTTCTAATTTTACTGTCAAGAACTCTAAGAAATGCTGATGAGGTGGTGAATTCTGTGCACAGTGTTAATCTTGATGAGAAGGATAGGAGAACTATTCACAATGTAGCAGGAGCTTCAGTGAAGGGTTTTGTAAGGTTTGGTAGAAGGTATCCCAAAAACAAATATTGGATTGCTGTACTTGAATGTTTGAAAGCAAGGGTGATAGAAAACCCTGAAATAGCGCCTGCCAGTGATTCAGATCGTGCATGGACTGAAATTTTGAGTAAAGGAGCTCTCACATTTGTAGGAAAAGAACCACTGGAATTTTTTCTTAGTGTAGCAAAAATTATTTCGAAGACTGATTTTGAGAATGCCAGCAGGGCACTCCCTCATGATTCCATAATAGAATGTGTATTTAAAGGGGAAAGTAAGTATATTTGGGACTCTATTATTGGTAACTTCTTAAAGGAAGATTGGTCACTGTTACTGATGCAAGCAATTACAAAGTCTTTCACCCATACTTATGGTAGAGGTGTAGCAATGAAACTTATCAATGCTGCAAGCAAAAACAAACCTTTCTGCGCAGTGCCTCTAAGACCAAGTTTAGCCCCTCGTGGCCCACTTCCCACAGCACCTGTATGATAAGTATATTGTATGCAGTTTATAAGTGATAGTAGTCATCAATTAATGACAACCATTTGTTTTTCTTTGTAATGTGGAAAAAAGTCAAAAACCACATTTTGTATTGTAAAGACCTTTAATTTTGTTTCAATAAACAATTTGAATTACAAACAAATATTTCTATAATCATGTATCATATTTACATTGCATTCAATCCACTTATGATTAGTATCACAACATTTTACATTGAAATCACATAAGAGACTTCTCCCATTGGTTAACCAGAAGACAACAAAATATCATCAAACTTATTATTCTACAGGCAAAGTAATAGAAAATAGGCTTTTTCTCTTTGGTAATGGCTCATAAGTTACCTCCATATTTCTGTCAGAAAGCTGAGTATTTCCTTTGCCAAAACATCTTCTAGATCCCATCTCACCCTGGGTGTGAATCATGCCCTGGTTCCTTAAAAACTGTTGAACAGTTGGAGAAGGATTACGCCCACACTTGTACCTCTGTTTACTGAAGAATTGTTCAATCGGATCCTGGCAAAATACTCTTGCATTAATTTTTTTCACTCCCACCCCCAGCAAAAACTGAACGGCTCCAGTGAAACCACGGACTGCAATTTCAATTCCCTCAATAGTTTGGTAACTTAGTTGTCGCATACTAGCAGGGCTCGCCATTTCATCCTCTTCCTCCAGCCCAACAGCTGCAGCACTGGGATCAATATCAGGATCATCAGGATTGTTTTGAAAAGAAGAACTTACTACACTTCTATTCATGGTTTCATTTGCAGCACAGAATTCAGCTTCATGTTTCCATTCTCTTAGATACTCTAGAAATTCTTCTAATTTTTGAAATCTAGGATCATTTTTATCTTCGTAAGGATCCAGGTTTGGATTTCTCTTGCGTTGTCCCTCCGTGAAATAATTACCATTCATCATATCAAACCAGTCATTGACTTTCCTTATGAAGTTAGCAGTCTCACTTGTATTTGGCCAATTTTCCTGTTGTAAGTAATTAGCAACAGTGCTGCTCAGAACATGTCCTGCCAATGACACATTCATGCACGAGTAAGCATTCAAAAATACAGTATTAGCGTTTAGTTTGTAACACTGTCGAAGGGGCTTATCCTTTTCTGTATTGTAGATTCTCACAATTGTTTTCCATAAAATATACTGACCATTTTTTTGCATACACCTTTTCCAGATGACTTTTCCATTTCTCTTCTCAAATTTCTTCTCAGTAGACCTCTGGAAACAATTCCGGATGGTTTTCAAGAGATGAGGAACATCGGATATAAAGTAAAGTACTCGATGAGGAGCAGCTTTGTTCATTGTATCATACACTACCTCACTCTCAGTTTCTGATACAGGTGTGTGCATTTTAATGAAGGCTCTATTCACAGAGCTCCCATCCATGACAAATGCTATTACTTCTACACCAGCTGCTTCAAGTTTCCCAATAACTTCCCAGCTCCATGCATATAAGTGTTCCTTTGTCAGCTGATCAACAGTGAATGAAGCCACCACCTCTTTCACATTAGTAGCAACTCCTTTAACCATGAATGATAATATTTTGCTTGCTATGTGTTGAGACACTTTGGAGGGATCTTCATTATTTAAAAAAGATTTAAGTGCTTGCAATTCCTCTCTAACTTCAGAAACATTAGCAAATCCTACAATGCGGCCAGTAGACTTTTCATAGACAAGGTTTTTACTGATATACATTTCATCACACATCAATACGTGATACTTCTGATAATCTTCTTTGAACTCCTGAACAATTCTTTTATGAATAAACTCTACTGTAGTATAGTCAACTCCTTCTTTTACTGGCTTAACATGGCTGTAATCAAAGAGGGTCCTTTGCGAAGGCAGCCTTATCATGCCTGTCTGCTGAAGAGAGGCATACACTTTCTTGGAATTCATGTATATTTGGAGAGCAAACCGGATCATAGTGGGATGCCATCTCATCCCACACGCTTTCTTGACCTTTGATGCTTTCATTTGCTGCTGTAGGAACAGGGACTGCTCCTCTGTTAAATCAGCAGTAGACAGTATTTCCAGAAAGTCATCAGAAGTGTCCTTATCAACAAGCACTGCTTCTTTTGCCAGTAGCTCTTGTATTTTGGTAGCCTGCCTGTCCAATTTCCTTCTCTGACTTTTTACTAATTTTTGTTGGTTGATGAGCTTCTTGTTTTTGTGCTTTTCAGGCATAGCTGCATTGGGTACATTGGGATGTAAAGTTTCCTTAGCATCCAATTCTGCTTTCCGTTGGAGTGGCTTGTATATAGCAGTACAAGACTTGCAACGCCAACTTCTAAGGGTCACTAACAGTTCACATTCATGAGAACGACAAGTCTCTGAATAACGATTTTCTTGATAAGGATTCTTATCAATAACTCCCCCTGAAAAATCATGCCACACTAATTTGAACTCTTCACAAGAAACACCCGTGCAAATCTCTAAATTACAAATACAATTCACAGCATCAGCAATTCTATCAACAAAGTAGTCAAGATTTTCTTCAGTGAGGGCCTTTTTTGGTCTTATGGAAGAAAATAGATTTTTATCATTGATAGGCTTGCAGTGCACACTAAGCTGGAAGTCTCCTGCACTTGAAAAGTAGAGTCTTCTCTGCACAGATTTCTCAAATTTTTTAGATAACATGAGAATGTGAATGCCATCAACATCCACAACAGATGTCCAGTTACTACGGACAAACAGGCTAATTTTTCCCTGAACCTGGAGTAACAACATCTTCTTCTGGTCATCTGATGCAGTTGATGTGGTGGGAGCAATAAATATATTTTTAGGTTTCTGGACAAAAGAAAAATAAATGAAAATTTATGTGCATTTGTTATTGCTAAAGTGTATCTTAATAGATTCTGTAAAACAAAGTTCTTACCTTAAATACATCTGGTGGTGGCTCTGGGGTTACTGAAGTACTGACAGGTGTATTATTTGAATCATTACAAAAATTTTCATCTCTGAGTCGTTCATCTGATGCAGTTGATGTGGGGGCATTAAATATAATTTTAGGTTTCTGCACAAAAGAAAAATAAATTAAAATTTATGTGCATTTGTTATTTGTAAAGTGTATCTTGATAGATTCTTTAAAACAAAGTTCTTACCTTAAATACATCTGGTGGAGGCTCTGGGGTTGATGCAGGACTAAAATGTGAATCATTTGAGTCGCTACAATAAAAGTTTTCATCTCTGAGTTCCGGAGTACATGTGTGTGACCTCAACGACACATTTGAGAGCTGATGAAGAAAACAAAAGTGTTTAAAAAATTGTAGTAAATAAAAACAACAACATTGTAAATGTATCTCAAAATACTATGACAACTTACAGTAGGAGAAAAGGGGCCAATGCTACTGCAGTCACTGTCTGTATCAATCATGATGTCCAGACTCTAGAAATACACGACCCACATCATTGTAAAAGACAAAAGACAAAAAATATTTAACACAGGAAATATAATCCATCATTTAAACTTACTGATGGGATTTCATAATCAATAGAACTTGGAGGCGAACTTGCGCAACTGGCAGAGGACAGATCTGCATGATCCAACTGTAATTCAAAATAAAACATTATATGCATGCACTTCATGAGAGGATAACACAGTAATACATTTTCATAATCATACACATTCTTGATATCTAAATTACCTGTGACACTGGAGATGTTGGAGAGGCTGCAGGAGGAGGGTTACTGTTGCTAGAATCTGAGTCAACAGAATCACTACTTGTGACATCACTTTTCCTTTTCTTTTTAGGGATATACCCGCCTTTCTTACTTTGACCTACTCTTTTCCGAACAGGAATGTTAGGCACTGCAGACCTAAAATCAAAATGGGAAAACATTAACCATAACCTATCACAGTGATGTTTGATTTCTTATTTAATTCGCCATTTACAAAGAAACGATTCAAACCGTATAAAATCAACCTTCAAAATGTATGCAGATTAATTACTCACCTCCACTTTATCAACACTCACAAATAGTCTGGTAATTACCATGTAATTATCGTCAGACAACTCACAACATGCTCAAAACATCGGGTTTGCACTACCCCGAAGTCCAGCCCAGCCCAGACCAAGCCCACCGCTAGCCGGATCGCGGAGTATCGCCGGCGCGCGACAGTGCTGCTCCTAGCGGCCGGCGCTGGGCTGAGACGGGGCGGGAGACGGCGCGCGGCTGGCGCGCGGGCTTTACGGCGCTGTGGAGACTGTTCGGTAGGTCCGATCGAGGAACCAAGGGTATCTTCCTATTGGTGTGACCTTCCTCGACATACCTGTCAAGGACCCAGGTCTGTAACTCAAACCGTTCGGCCGTCAGACGTTTGGGGAGGCAGGCGCGCAGGGCCCCAGGCCGGTAAAGCTTCTACTCCATACCGCTTTACTCCATGCTTGAAGGCGTGTTGAGTGTACATTGTTTGTGGGGCTGGGGGCGCCTGGATGGGGCGTGGCCTAGCGCACAGTAGTGATTGTTGGCGGGCGGGGGGAAGTTGGGACGGTCATAGTAACGCACTGCTCCCCCGTGCTCCAAACCTGCTGGTTGGCTGAGCGATTAGCGAACCCTATTACTTCAATGATGATTAATAAGTATCGCGTCTGTCTGTCTGTGTGTTTGTCTGTCATCACGATAACTCAATAACGAATTAAGCTAGAGACCTTGCATTATCAGGGTCGTTTCGTGTCATAACAAGCTGGGCCCGCTCTTCCGCCAAACCAAGTTGCCAGCTCCGCTTCGCTCCACCGGCAACTCGGTTCGGCAGGGAGCGGGCCCAGCTTGGCCTGCCGGCGGCGTTTGGGACGGGCCTTCGGCCCGTCCCTTCTTAATTTTCATGGTGTAATACATCTTCTATCCGAAAACGGGCCTTCGGCCCGTTGGAGTGACGGCTCGCTTTGGACCATCTTTTAGCCAGGTACCTTTTCTGTCTAATTCGTAATCAAAACTCAACAAAGGAAGTATTCTTTTCATACGCTGAACATCTTTGGCTGTGTGTGTGTGCCGCAGTTTGTAGAATACATGCAAGTTATGCCAAATCCCTTCTAAGTTATTGATGTTAGCTTATGAATCAAATAACACACCTATGAAAAGATACATAAGACTAGCCCTAGAAGAAGTTAAATATACTTCCAGGCATACTCTGAACGACTCCGAGCGTGTTTTAACAACAAACAAATGTTTTTGTTTTTTTTTGTTTTTTTTTGTTTTTTTTTTGCTTTTTTGCATGGAAGTGTACACGTTTTATTAATGATGTCCCACCATAAAATAAGCCCACTCTTCTGCTTAGAAGAAAATTTTGAACCGACGGCATACTTCTCAGACAGAAGTGTTAAAAAAGTAAAAATATTTTTGTTTTGGCCAGTTTGGTATGAAAAACTCCCTTTTGTAAGTAAACAGGACAAAACTTTAGCCCAAGAGGCTCTACTTTCACGAGTTACCCCT